AAGAAAAAGGATGATAAAAGTAACAAAAAGAGTATTTTGATAAAAAGAAAAAGAAAATATAAAAAAGAAGGAAATTAAAGTTAAGGGGAAACAAGAAAAAAGAAAAACAGAAAACAGAATAACACGAAAAGGAGAGGAAGAAGAAGAAGAAGAAGAAAGAAAGAGAAGGAGGAGAAGAAAATGAAATAAAAACAAGAAAAAAACAGTAACTGTAAAGAAAAGATCTAAAGAAAACAAAGAAAGGACGAACGAACGATAGACAGAAAGGAAAAGGAGAAATAACAAAAAAATATGCAAAATAGGGGAATTAAGAAAAAAAAAAAAAACAGAAGGAGAAGAAGAAAGAAAAAGAAAAGGGAAGAGAAAGAGACGACAAACCCAGCATTCACAGACTGTGAGATAAACTTTATTTTCAGACATTTTCCAAAACGTGTTCAAACTTGCGCGCGTGAGAGAGATGCCAAATGTCACCTGCTGGCATAACTCCCGGCTCGAATTTCTCGCCTTGGGAAAAGATAAAAGCTTGTTTTGGGGTGACAGTTCGGTGTATTTTCTCTCGTTTAATTGATTTTAGATATTAGATTTGTCTTCAGATAGCGGTGAATGGTTTACAATCGTTTAAATACTATTGGACAATTATTTTCCTTCGTCGCTCTCTCTCTCTCTCTCTCTCTTCCCGCCCCTTCTCTCTCTTTCCTCCGTCTCTCTACCTCCTTCTCCTCCTGTTTCCCTCCTCTTTCCTCTCGGTTTTTTCCCTCTCATTTCTGTCTCCCTCCCCCTCCCTCTCTCTCCTTCCTTCCTACTTCCCCTCCCTTCCTTCTCCCTCCGAGGTCCCTTCCTCCCTCCGTCTCTCCTCCCTTCCCTCCTCCCTCCCTCCCTTCCTCTTTCTCCTTCTCCTTCTTGAGTCTTCCCTCCCTTCCTCCTTGCCCCCTCCTTCCCTATCTCTCCTTTCTCCCTCCCTCCCTCCGTCCTTCTCTCCCTCCCTCTCTCTCCCTTCCTTCCTACCTCCCTCCTTTCCTTTTCCTGAGGTCCCTTCCTCCCTCCGTCTCTCTCTCCTTCCTCCTCCCTTCTCCCTTCCTCTTTCTCCTTCTCCTTCTTGAATCCTTCCCTCCCTTCCTCCTTGCCCCCCTCCTTCCCTCTTCCTTTCTCCCTCCCTCCCTCTTCTTCTCCCTCCCTCTCCTCTCCCTTTCCTTCTTTCCCTCCCTTCCTTCCCTTGCCTCTCTCTCCTCCCTTCCCTTCCTCTCCGTTCTCTCTCCTCCCTCCTCCTCCCTCCTTCTCTCTCTCCTCCTGAGTCCTTCCCTCCTTCTATTGCCTCCCCCCCTCTCTATCTCTCCTTCTCCCTCCCTCCTTCCCTGCGTCCTTCTCCTCCCTCTCCCTCCCTCCCTCCGCCCTTCCTTCCTCCCTCCCTCCCTCTCTCTCCTTTCTCACTCTCCCTCGGGTGCCTGTTCCTCCTTCCTTCATTTTTTTTTCTTCTCTCTCGTCCCTCCTCTCCGTCTCAACCCCCCTCCCCCCGCCATTTTTTCCTTCCTCTTTCTCTTTCCCTCTCCCTTTCTCCGTATTCTCTTTCTTATATATATTCTCTTTCCCTCTCCTTCGCTTCTTCATCCCTTCCTCCCACTTCTTATTTTCTCCCTCCTGCCCTTCCTTTCTCCCTCCCATCGTCTCTCTCTTTTCTTTCCTCTTCTCCCATTCTTCCTCCTTCTCCCTGCCCCCCCCCCTCCATAAATGAATGTTAAATATGCATAGTGCAAACACACCTGCATTTTTTTTTTTTTTATTTTTTTTTTCTTTTTTTTGCGGGCGTGTACATGTGTGTGTGTGTGTTTTATATACGCACATGTGTGTGTTATGTGCGTGTTTGTTTGTATGTATGCATGAATGTGTCTGTTGTGTCTGTTTGTTTTCTTTAGCTTGTGCGCTTCGGTTACATGAAAGAAAATAACAAACAAGAAAGTGTTTTTGTTTTATTTTTCTCTACTTCCCTGTCTTTCACTCTCTCCGTATTCTTATCTGTCGTTATCATCGTATTTATCTTTCGTCATATTTATCTCTCTTTCTCTCTCCATCTATCTATCTCTCTTTCGCTCTCCATCTCTCTCTCTTTGTCTATCTATCTATCTATCTATCTATATGTCTCTCTCTTTCTCTCTGTCCTCCCCTCTCCTCTCTCTCTGTCTATCTATCTATCTATCTGTCTGTCTCCCTCTTTCTCTCTCTCTTCCCCTTCCCTCACTTCCTCCCCTCTCCTCTCTCTCTGTCTATCTATCTATCTATCTGTCTCTCTCTTTCTCTCTCTCCTCCCCTCTCCCCTCACTTCCTCCTTCTCCTCTCTCTCTGTCTATCTATCTATTCTATCTATCTGTCTCTCTCTTCTCTCTCCTCCTCCTCCCCCCCCACTTCCTCCCCTCTCCTCCCCCCTCCAACCCCCTCACCTCCTACCCTCCCCCCCACACCCCCTCCCTACCCCACCCCCATTGATCATTTTTTTTCCTAGTATTTA